TTTTGTGAATGAATTTTCTTTATTGAAGGTCTTGAAGGCCTAATATGAATGTATAAAATAAATATCCCGGTCGACCTCGAACCGTTCGGGCCGTGTCGACTCCTATCTACCTGCATAGAAGGATCGGGCTCGAACTTGGGTTTTTTTACTGACCCGCACAACATCCCTAGACGTCACGTGTGTTCCCACAACACGCTCGTCGAGGTCCATGCGGGTGTTTGGGGGCATTTTATAATATCATGTATGGATGTGATATTTATGCCGTATATATACAGGCGTTGCTCATAATTTGCCTGAGCTTTTTATATTCATCATTTGGCGGGGCTTTGCTGCCTCATTACAGTTAGACGCACCATGTTTTATGGATTCACTTGTTGGGCAATAAAAGTTCTCTAATATCCATATCGAGAATCATAGAAACAAGAACACTATGTTGGATGTGATAAAACTAAGAACCGTGTATTAAATAAATGATCATATTAAAGAGTTGTTGCTAGTATTATCCATTGAAGATGAGACCATGAAAAATAGATTTTGGTAGTTTAGATATGTACATTGAATTAAATAAATATAATAATTAGACAATTTGGTAAAACTGATGTTGAAGAATTAAAAAAGAAAATGGGTTGATTAAATGTAACACGGATGGAAAGAACTGCAAACTGATTCGCATAGAATGGATATGGCCCTATATAGTAGGGATATGGTAATTTTGATGATAATGATGGTTATAACCTATTAAAATTCTCTAACAAATAAAAAAAAAAATCCTTCAAATGCAAGATCTAAACCATCCATTTACTTTAGAATCATTTAAACAGGTGGAATGCATAATCTCAATAATGTTGAGGTGGTTTGATCAGTCATCAAATAATAAAATAATTCACAATGAATGGATCCAATTGTAATTTTAAAATGTGGAGTGTTTCAAATTGATTGGAATGAAATATATCAATTATTAATGGTATTTTTCTTGTATTAAACTATTTTGGTTGATGAAGTACAAACATGGGAGCAACCAGATTTTTAAAGGGGCATATATATGTCATATGTTAATCCTTGAATTTTTTACTGTTTGATTAATAATTAAATCATCATGAAAATTAATGAAACTTGATCCCATATATTTTGCATATTGTAGATCACAATTACATTTAAAGATTTTATAAAAAATGTAACAAAATTAAAAGTAAATAATAGGCATTCCCCTCCTAGGAGGAGAAAGTCTTTAACTCTATATAGAAAGAGAATCACTGTTGTCCCCCAAATTAAATTATGATGTTATCCTTCAAATGGAAGATCAAAACTGCTCTTTTTTTTGCATCTATAAAATTAGTTGCATGCATGCCATTAAAATTTTTTATGATTATTTAGATCTTTCAAATGAATTAAATTTTTCATAATGTATGGCTCTAATTTGGTGATAAGGCATTATAATTTCAAATTGTAGAGACCTTTAAATGGATTGGAATAAAATTACGGATTCTAGATGATGTTTTATATGTATTAAATTAGTTTGATTGATGAAATACATGATTGGGAGAGTTTTAAAAGGGCTTTTACATGTGTTTGATCGATATATAGCCAAATATCTATGAACCCAATTTAAGCTAAATCGACCCGATTCAAGCTCATGATGAACTCGCTATATTCAAAGAGAACTCTCCCAAGTTAGCAATTTTCCTAAGCAAAGTTTGTGACTTCTTCTAACCAAGTTAGTGAAGTTGGCAACTTTATACAACTAAGGCAGCAACTTCCTTCAGCTTAAGTTAGTGACTTCTTCTAATCAGGGTTGGGGGCTTCCTTCAGTCAAGATAAAAGTTTGACTTTTATTAGCATGGCGGCTAAGCGAATGACTTATATCCAATGATTAATTGATAGTTATATACATATAGAATGAGGCAACTTTTTATATACTTTTTAATTATGTGGTCTTACGTGTTGCCAATCTTGTGTCTCTCGTACCTCTCAAACCACTACCCAAAGCTATAAATAGAGGGTCAGGGGTAAAGCGTCTCATTTTTAGTGAATCCTAGAGCTTCTCACTCGAAAAACCCTCTTTCTCTATCTTATTTTTTGTTCTTTTGTTTGTTTTCCTTGAGAGTTAGGTTCTTGTATAATTTATGTTTAATTTTGGATTCAAAAATCATTTTTTATAGTTTTCACATACTTGTTGAATAGTTTAATTCTCACAAAAAATGAAGAAACTTGATCCACTTGTAATATATATTGTAGATAACACTCAACTTTATGATATTAAGTTTGAAGATTATAAAGTTATAGATGCAATAAAAGAATTAAGAGTAGAAATGTCCCCCCCCCCCCCCCCCCCCACACACACACACACACACAATAGAGAGTGAGTCTTCATCCCAATCTTTAGGAAAGCATCTTTATCATCTCCAATGAAACTATGCAGAAATTAAAGTTTATTTAATTTTTCAATTGTTTGGTCTTTGGTCATACATGCAAGGATTTTTCGCTAATTGATTGTCTATATAACGTATTATCACATTATATATTTTATATGGAACAAAATTTTCAAATTGAGTGAAATTTTATGTGTGCTTGTATTTATTTGGAATAAGGCCATTGGCTTGGCTTTCCAAAAAGTGCTTCAATATTAGGTATTTGTTTATCATTAAGTATACATTGTTCTTTAGTTTCCTATTCTTGATAACTTGCTAAATAATCATGTAATATGATGTAGCTTTATTTCTAGCAGATTTCTTATATGTTAGTTCATAATCAATGGTGTTGATTTTTATTTTAGATGCTCTATAGTCAAAATTACTCACCTCTCTCTTCTAATGGGATTGGAGCACTCTCTCTCTCTCTCTCTCTCTCTCTCTCTCTCTCTCTCTCTCTCTCTCTCTCTCCATATATAGAATTTAATGGCTGATTTTGTTAGTAATTCAACTATGATTAATTTGTACTGATACTAAATAATGTACGCCCAAATTCAACCTGCTTCAATTTTACAATGGTCACAAAAGCATCTAGTATTGATCATAAAGTAGGGGGTGAAATTGGATGAAAAATCATTCTATTCTTTGTTAGTTCATGATATTTTAGTTTGAAAAGAAGGAGAGGGGTAGGAGGGGGGTGATTAGAAATTTGTTTAGTCTCTTCTTCTTGATGTCATCAACATCATTATTAACCTTCTCTCAATTATTTGGGGCATGCATCATGAATCCACTTTTTCTGTGTTTTTATGGAGTGTTTTATGTGGTGTTTAACCTATTATTTGCAAACCAATTTGAATATAATTATATCAATCAAATATTGTGCTTATCTTTTTCCTTCATAATCTTCTAACATCAATATTATCAACTCGTCTAACTGACAAGCTTGAAGAATCCATGAAAACAATTAAAAGTTCTCATTCAAGTAATAAAAAATCTAAGGAAGCATTGTATGAAATTTAATTGCAAAATAAAGTAATATACACTTATACAATAACTTAACGATGCTCTGATTTATTTTATGCACACTATTTATAATAAAAAATTAGTTCATCAAATGCTTTTGTTATAATCTTAATTTAGCAAATAAATGAAAAGCTTAATGGGATGGAAAATGGGCCCTAATTATAATTTTAATATTCATAATCTTTTTTTTCTAACTTTAAATATAATTAGAATAATTATAATTATTTTACAGTTATCATATTTTTAGTGCAATTCGTTTTTATTAGAAGTGTTTTATTATTCATGTCAAAATGGCACAGAATATAATAATCTCTGCATTAGTTATACAACTTGATAATTTTGCAACAACATTATAAGTTGAGCCTTTAAAAATATATATTGTTATTTCCTTAAAAATTGAAAACCTAAGATCAAAATTGACCGACCAAAATACTGTGGGAAGTGTAACACAAACTTATTATCTATGTTGCACCGATACGGATACGGCGACACGGATACGACACGATACGGATACGGGACACGTCAATTCTTAAAAAAACAGGATACGGGTACGGCGCGAACACGGCATCATAATTTATAAATCATACATAAAAATTAAGAAAACAATCAAAGCATAATATTTGAAATTACAAAAAAATGACAATAACATCATTTGTAGCCTTGTAGCTTATAATATCGAAATATAAGTAAGCGTTAAATGTCTAGTACAACAACATAAGCATAAACATAAATTGTCTAGCACATAAAGTTTCAACTATTCAATAGAAGGAATGATATGATTAGCTTCTTGATTAGCTTCTTCAGTGGTTTGTCTTTGAACTTCTATATCATCTTCAATAAATATCATAGCTTTTAATTCCGGCTCATTAAGTGAAAGATTAGTAATTTCTAATATTCTCATATCATCAAGAGACTCAAATCCATCTCGGAAATGAGAGAGCTTTGCTCGCAGCCGCGGAAGTAAATATGACGTTTGTTTTTCAACGGACACGTGTATCGGATACGCGTGTCCTTTTGAAATTAAATAGTATTTTAATTGGATACGTCTTTGGTGTATCAGACACGTATCGGTGGAGTATCGAAGGCGTATCCGTGTATCGGTGTATCGGATACATAAATAGGTGTATCGGATACATAAATAGGTGTATCGGTGCAACATAGCTTATTATTAAATGGGGAACATTTTGATGGCTAGAAGATGGCCATTTTTTTTTCTCTTGTGCATAATTATTCATTACATATCAAAACTTTATGCTTGGACGTCAATTGTTGCACGTCTTAAAAATCTCTTCTAACAGCACGCATATCCAAACTTTATTCTTTTCGGCCAAATGTTTTATTGCTCACATGCCAAATGATTTTTATGTTTGGATCTTTCACTAAGCATTTAACCTATCTTTTACCCAACATAATTGGTGATCTTGTGCTTCTTTTCACGATTAATTCTATTCATATAATTGCTGGGAATTTTTTTCCTAACCCTGAAAGGTTAATGCAACCTACCATTATGTTTGATGATTAGTTTAGTCTTTGCTTCTTTCTTAACATGAAATGCTTTTTGTATTCCAGTTATGCCAAACGATGTGAATCGGTTAATACCATGGCATCCTTTCTTTGGTGGATTGTTGGATTTTACTGGATTATATCAGGTGGTGAAGCTCTTGTGCAGAATGCTCCTAAACTCTATTGGTATGACTCCTGACCATACTTTGTAGACCAATTCTATGCTTATGAGGGAGCATGCTGTGTCTCAGCGTTCTACACGGAATCTCATTAATGACATGAATTTTGAATACATTTAAAACTAATCTACTTCATTTTTACAGTTGCCAAAAGTTGATTTGAAATTTATTTTCTGGTCTCTTGTTAACCGATAGACTTTGAAAGTTCATTGCTTTGTTATAGATTTTAGCTGATTTCTAAGTACAAATGGGATGTTAAGCATATAGGACATTGTTACAGTACCCCATGAGTGGGTGTGGTTTTAGGCCTAAACATGCAGATGCTTCTTTATTCAACAATGTGGAAAAATCTTAGTTGGTGTTACCTCACTATAGCTGATGAATGCTGCAATCATGATAGATATCTAATTCTTGGATGCCTCAAACTTAGACTTAGGCTTCGTTTGGGACGGTTTTCTTATTGCGTCTTAAAACAATTTTTTAGTATAAGAATTTTATTTGTTGTATTAAGCTGCTTTAAGAAGCTGCCTCAAACGGTTTCGTTTGGGGAGGCTTTCTTACTGCTTCTGAAAGCAGTTTTCTAGTAAAAAATTTAAATTTTTGTACTAAAAAGCTGCTTTAAGAAGAAAGCCATCCCAATCGAAGCCTTAGTTTAGGACGGCTTTCTTTCTGCTTCTTAAAACAGCTTTTAATTTTTTACTAAGAAGTTGCTTTATGAAGCAGAAAGGAAGTCGTTCCAAATGAAGCCTTAGCTTGCCCAATCATGAGGACGTGAACAGCATTCTTTTCACTTTGCATGATCTTGTTGGCACATAGCCTGATGTGGTTTTGCATCAACTCATTAGAAGCAACTTCATTTTTCTTATTTTACTATTATTTTTAATTTATTTTCTTTTTCACATACAAATCTAATATAAGATCTATCATCTTTTCATTGTACTGATTTTAAACTGCCTGACAGGTTGGCTGTAGTGTTTCTAGCTTTTGATGTATGTTTTGCAATATTTTGTGTTGCTTTGGCCTTTGTGATTGGCATTGCACTCTGCTGCTGTTTACCTTGCATTATCGCAATACTATACGCAATTGCAGGCCAGGTGAGCATCTTAGCCATCGTTATTGCTCTGAACAAAGTGCTTCTTATATATATCATATGGTCTGTGTATGAGTCATTTCCATGTTCAGGAAGGGGCATCGGATGCTGATATTAACCTTCTACCAAGATACAGATACGCTGCATCCAATGATAACAGGGAAAATAAAGGAGATGTGGGAATAATGAGTCCAATTACGAATGGCAGCGAAAACTTTCCAGAACGTGTTATTTTGCGTGAATATGCGGTAAACATAAGATTTGTCTTACTTTTGCCTTCTTTTGTGGAAAAATTATTCTGTGCATACACCGGATGTCATTCAGAGATGAATCAGGATGCATCACGTCATTTTTTTATTGGTACCAGTGCTACCGGGTGATGTGGTGCATTCTGATTTGCCTCCGAATGGTCCGGTGTACGCACAGAATAATTTTTCTCGTTTGTGACAGCTTTCTTATTGTTTTTAAAAATAATTTGTTGATAAAAAAATTTTTAGTTAAAAAATTTCTTTATTAAAATACTCCTTTAAGAAGAAGCAAAAAAGTCATTCCAAACAAAGCCTTAAATCTTTTATTCGACCAAATTTCACTTTATTTCTGCTCATTTTTTTGGTGCTTACCTTTATGTGCGCATTTTTTATTGTCTTCTACATTTTGTTCTGTGGTTCCATCCTATTTTCTTATAGAGTTAAAATAAGATGAATTTCTTAGATGTCTGTAACTTAGTTTTTTTTTAATAGAAAAAAGTAGTTTTAATTCATGCGAAAAATGCACTTAATAAATTCCCATTTTTGCTTCGGTTGGGACAGCTTCCTTTCAGCTTCTTAAAGCAGCTTTTTAGTATAAAATTTTAATTTTTGTACGAAAAAATTGCTTTATGAAACAGTAAGAAAGCCGTTCCAAATAAAGCCTTTGTTCTTGCACCTCAATGATTTCCTACTTTTATTCGATTTCCTTGATGATGACAATGAAAAATTCAATGAATTCTGATAATGAGTGTTATTTCTCCTTCACAGGAATGTTGCATTTGTCTGAGTTCCTATGAAGATGGAAATGAGCTGCATGCTCTTCCCTGCAATCACCACTTCCACTCTGCATGCATTACGAAATGGCTCAAAATCAATGCGACCTGCCCATTGTGCAAATACAACATTCTCAAGAGCAATGATTGCGTGTGAAAGCACATTAAGATTTTGTTTGGGATAGCTTTCTCATCGCTTTATGAAGTAATCTTTTAGTACAAAATTTTTTTGAATTTGAAAATTTTGTGTTAGAAAAGTGCTTCATAGAGCAATAAAAAAGTTGTCCCAAACAAAATCTTCCTTCTACTAGTACTTGGTTGTGTATATGTGGTTGAATGATCGTCGACATAGCTGCCCCAGGTAATATTAAAGTTAGTCCTCTTTGCTCCGAGTGTGAAATTATAATTGATCACATTTTTTATTATTAATGTATGGCAAAGCTAGTGTTGTAGCCTTCAATGTCATTGAGGCTTCGTTTGGGACAGTTTTTAATTGTTTTTTAAAGTAGCTTTTAAGTACAAAAATTAAACTTTTTATACTAGAAAGTTATTTTAAAAAACTGTAAGAAAATCGTCACAGACAAAATCTTAGACTTTGTTTGTGACGGCTTTCTAATTACTTATTAAAGCAGCTTTTTAGTACAAAAATTTTAATTTTTGTAATAAAAAATTACTTCATGAAGCAATAAGAAATCCATCCCAAATGAAGCTTGAGTATGGGTCGCTTTGGCATTGTTTACAATGAAAGTTTTTGTTGAATCTTCCACTAGAACAAACAAAGTTCTAAATGAAAGCTTTTGTTGAATCTTCCACTAGAACAAAGTTCTAAAAAAATGAAGGGGATTTTCATACATATAACAAATTTTTTTTTTTTTTTATGTATTTTTATATCTAATATATAAAGTTTTATATTTATTTATATATTATTTTAATCTATAAGCAAATGCTTTTTTTTGTTTTAAATGATTTTAATATTAATAATGTTTTTTGATGTGGCTTAAAGATTTGTATTATATAAGTAAATATGATGATTTAAATATTAGATGTATATGTATATTGGAATTGTAGGATATATATTTAGGCTCTAAAAAAATATTTGCATGGGAATATGAGTAGATGTGAAACCTTTGGTATGATTTGGGTATGATAGTAGTGATCTCTGGTACATGCAATGTTTTATGGCGTAGAATGTTGGCTATTGAAAGAATCATAATATTAAATTAAGTGTTGTGGAAATGAGAATGCTCAGGTGGATTAGTGGCTTTGTTCTTAGAGATATAATGCGGAATGAGTATATACGTGAAAATGTTAGAGTAGCTCTAATGGCAAGGAAGATTAGTGAGAGTATATATTTTTTGATAATTTTAAGAAGTGATAAAGGTAGTAAAATGTGTGGTGATATGAGTTTGATCTCTCTTTTTTCAGCCTATAATTAGTGGGGAATGATTGTTTTTCTTCTTATTTGATTTATTGTATATATTCTTTTCTATGATTTAGAAACACATTGTTGCAACATCAATTATGATTTGTGACAAAATTTAATGTGGATGTTCCATTAAGATATGTGATAACAAAATTATTCGCTAAGAATGTAAAAAAAAAAAAAAAAACTAAAGATAGAATGGCATTCAAACGCACTAATAAAGCATGTCATTATGAATATTTTTGGTTGATCCTTAGGCAATACGTTCAAGATATTATCAATAATCAGTTATTCAATTTCAAGTCATTAAAAAGGCTTTATACTTTACAATTATGATGAAAAATTTTATGATCTTAGCAATTTTAAATCGTCAATTATAATTGGATAATTTTGTTTAAGATGGATCCATGAGCACGATGGTATTAATTTTAATATTTTTTTTTTTATAAAATTATAATTTAAGAGGCTACGACTAGCAGCAGGTGGTAGCTCGAGGTGGCTGTAAATTAATCAAATCAAATAATTTTCAAATACAATAAAATTGAACTAAAGAGTTGATAAGTCACAAAAATCTCTTTGATTGGGCTCGAAGTCGATGCAATCTTGAATCAGAAACTTCCAAAATTAAAATCATGATCATCTGAACTTTGATTTCAACATTCTATAGTCGAACTAAGTGTCTCGATGAGACAAAGCTATCAACACTAAAATCGGTCAAATCCAAGCTCAAATGGGACCAAATCAAAGGCAAGAAGCATATTTGGAAGCTTGGGGACATTAATTGGAGGACCAAATTTCACATGTTTATAATCAAATCAAGCGGGTCAACAAGACAAATCCAACGAGCTCAAGCTTGTTTAAACCTGACGTCATTAAGACACTTAAATGTTGAATGAATGTTTTATGATTAAGTGAATTAATATAGATCGCCATATGGAGTTCTTCTGATTTTATTCAAATTCATGAGTTATGTCACTCTTAAAATCTATAAATAGTCTCTTACTCTCTGCATGAAGGGGGATAGAGCTATGAGGCTTAAAGAATCCCAGAGCTTAGCAAAACCTATCGCCATACTTTCATAGATTGGTCGCCACCTCTTGATCTATGTCAGGCAGCCATTATCTGGGCTAGCCGGCCATGGCCATAGGGATACCGCCCAGCTACCACCATCATCTAACCTCCACCAGGCCATCACTGGACGACTTTCATCTCCTAATTGTCTCCTATGGTCCTACCAACCTTCATCATCCATTGACTACAGTTCTCAGACCATTAATTGTCACCCATCTATGGTGGTCCTTCGACCTTAGTAACCCAATTATGGTCCTCCAACTTTCATCGCCCAACTACCGAGGGGGTTAGAAACTTAGTTAAATATTCAAGAGAGCTCTAAGGTTTGAAGAATCTTAGAACTTAGCAAACCTTGCTGCCATGCTTTTGCAGCTCGGTCGTCACCTCTGGACTTTTGTCCGGCATCCACTACCAGGGCCAACTGACCATGGCCATAAGGCTTCCACCGAGCCGCCACTATTGTCAAACCTCCACCAAGCTGCCATTGGCAGACCTTCATTGATGGAATTTCATTTTTTGAGCATTCCCTATGGTCCTTCCAACCTCTATTTCCCACCAACTAAAGTCCTCAGATAATTAATTATCACACATTTGTAGTCCTTATACCACCGTCACCCTAGTATGATACGTCGACCTCAGTTACTAGACTACAATCCTTTTGATCTTCTTCGCTTATCGTCCTCCAACTTTCACCACACAACTACAACCCTTCATGTGAAATTCCTTAAGTAAAAAGAAGTTAAACTCTTAAACACCAATACACCTTTTAGTGTAATGTTCAGAACTTCATTATGAAACTCCAGAGTTAAGCGTGCTGACCATGAAGAAATCCTGGGATTTGTAAGCTTCTGGGAAGTTACACCAACATGAATAAACTATGAGGCTCTTAGGCCAAAGTGGATAATATCTCGATAATTAAGAGTTTGAGCTATTACAAATGATATCAAAGCAATACATCAGTCAAAAGATGTGAACTAAGTGAAATACAAGATACAGTGTTATGCCATGGGAGCCACCTCTTGAACCATGTATGGGATAAAGTGCTTCGTGGCGGGAGTCACCACTTGAACTTGTAGGGGCCACATCTAAAATCCTATATTCATGGCAGATGATTCTGGGATAAATATGTTGATAAGGATGTCAGTTATTGAAGTGAGGGAGATTGTGAAACCCCTCAAGTAAAAGAAGCTAAACTCTTAAATATCGAGACGTCTTTTGGTGTAATGGTTGGAATTTCATTTTTAAACTCCATAGTTAAGTATGCTTATCTTGAAGAAATTTTAGGAAGGGTGACCTCCTGGAAATTTATACCAATAAGACAAAATAGTTAGGCCCTTAGGCCAAAACGGACAATATCTGGATAGTTAAGAGTTTGTGTTGTTACACTTCCAACCTTCATTACCCACTGATTATGATATCAAGCCTTCGTCGCCTACTGACTATGGTCCTTAGACTACCATCTGATCATCATCGTCAACTGATTACTGTCCTTAGACTACCGCCACTCGATTATGGCCTTCAGATTATTATTTCCCAACTAAGGTCCCCCGACTACGATCTTACCAACCTTCGCCGCCTGACTACTATCCTTTTGACCTTCGTTACCCAACTACTTTTTTTCTGACCTCTGTTGTTGGATCTCCACTAAGCATCCACTAACAAACCTTCATCAATGGAATTTCATCTTTTGATCATTTTTTATGGTCCTTCCTTCTAACGACCTTGTCCCACCAACTATAGCTCTTAGACTATTAATTGTCACATGTTTGCAGTCCTTAGACCACTGTCACCCTACTATATGCCTTTGACCTTAGTCACTTGACAACAATCCTCTTGACCTTCATCGTATGTTATCCTCCAACCTTCATCACCCAACTACGATCATTAATGTAAAACCTCTTAAATAAAAAGAAGTTAAACTCTTAAACACCGAGGGGATTGTTGGTGTAATGGTTAGAATTTCATTAAGAAACTCCATAGTTAAGCGTGCTCATCCCGAAGAAATCTTGATATGAGTGACCTCCTAGAAGTTATACCAACATGATAAAGTTGTGAGGCCCTTAGGCCTAAGTGGGCAATATCTCAATAGTTAAGAGTTTGGTTTGTTACACCTCCAACCTCCATTACCCGTTGATTATGATCTTAGGCCTTTGTCACCTACTGACTATGGTCCTTAGACTACCTTCTGATCTTCATCGCAGTCAACTATTATCACTTGATTATGGCCTTCAGACGACTGTCTCCCAACAAATCTTCCCCGACTACGGTCCTACCAACCTCTGTCGCCCAACTACTATCATTTTGACCTTCGTTACCCGACTCTATCCTTTTGATCTCCAATGCTCACCGACTAGGATACTCCGACCTCCGTCACTCGACTTTACCATCTGGATTTATGTTAGATTCTTGCCAAAGAATTCTTCTAAGCTTAACCAACTAACACATTCTTTAAAATTTATCAATCTTTCCCTTGGGAAGGGCTTTACTTGTAAAAAATATTAATAGCAATGGAATTACTTTAATTGGGCCAGATCATGTAGGTTTTCCCTTACCAAGATTTTCTATGTAAAAAATGTGATGTCTCCTATACCTCTCTTATCTATGTCTGTGCTGGATCTTTGTGACGTTAAACCTATCTCTCTGCCATCGTGATTGTTTTATCATACAACAAGGATAAATTAAAAAAAAAATTAAAAAAAAAAACAAGGATAAATTTCAAATATTTTAAAATTTTACTCTGCATTTGTGTTAGTTCAGATCAAATATTAATATTTTTTGAAATGTCTGCATTTGGAATACTCTTTGCCTTTAATAAATCCGGTGGCATATTCCCTAATCTATCAAACGATTTAATCATTTATAACAAATATATTATGGTTTAAATTTGGAAACTTTTTTTTTTTTTTGGATAAATGATTCCAATACTTATAAAACAAATTCAAATTTATGAGAAACAGATATATCAAAATATCTTAATCAGAAATAGATATCCAAGTAGATGAAATTTGTGACTCAGCCTTGCTGGAATTCTAACGTATACTTAGCGATATATTTTAAGAAAGTTAATTTTTTTGCAAATATATATTATTATTCCCAAATTTTGAAATCCTAAAAACTTATAAATAGAACGGAAAGCTGCTCTCCTCTGCATCAAAGTTCCTAAGTAGAAGCGAAGAGACAGCCTGCCTCCTTTCTTGTAATTTCCTCAAGCTTCTCTTTCTTCTAAATCCAAACTCTGCTCATGGACTCATCCAACCCTGCAGCGAGAGGGGCAGGCCGCGACCTCTGCAGCAGTGGCTGTGGGTTCTACGGCAGCGACGCCACGCTCGGCCTCTGCTCCAAATGCTTCCGCGATCATATTTTCTCCTCTCATATCAATAAAACCGCGCAACAACTTGCGTCGATCGTAGGGAGCGGAAAGAAGAACGGACATATTGGATCTAAGGACTCTGCTTCTGCAACCGAGTCTAAGAAGAAGACGAAGCAGAGCTGCTCAAAGTGCGATAGAAAGGTGGGGTTGGCCATGCGAGCGATCAAATGCCGCTGCAATGGTGTTTTCTGCGCCGCCCACCGCCTCCCAGAAGACCACGGCTGTACTTTTGACTATCGGACCGCTGGCCGTCTGCTTCTCGAGGAAGCCAATCCGCTCATCAAAGCTGAAAAGCTGAACACGATGTAGTGAAGAAGAATCTGAATGTTTTAGTGATTCATCAATGTCGTATCCGAACAATCAAAGTTCTTCTTTTTCCTTTGTATGCCGTAAAGTAGTTGAAGACAGAAATACTGTGACTAACAGCTTTGTTGTTCATCTTATATGCCATTGATTTGTTTGGATTGTCAAAATTTTCATTAGATCAATCTTGATTAGGGAGCTGAATCTACTATATGTTTTGAATTCGTCAGAAAAAGAGAGAGAGAGAGAGATTTAACAATGTTCGATTTAATAAAAGAATTTCAGCATCATGGATGGCAGAGTAATCAGAAAGGTTTTATAATATAGACGTATGGAGAAAAGGATCCTGTCATAATATCTGAAATTTTGTTCATCCTTGAAATATTAATATATTTATTATATTTACTGAAATTTTCAAAAGCAGATAATTGTATCGCAAATTTAGTCACAGATTTATTATTCATCATGAGGAAATTAATTTCATCAAGGTAAAATATTATATTATTTTACTTAAAGATTACAAAAATTTGTCATTCTCCATAACATAATATAGGATTATAATGTTTAGATTGTTGACTTGGCCTCCTATGAAAAAAATAGAAATTATGGAGAAGTAATGATTGGTGGCAGAAATTGTGTTAGTTAACGACAGATGAAGATGGTTAGGTTATAATTGATGTCGGTGTCAATTGATAGAGAGATTAATATATACTATTTGCGGAGTCTTGATTGGAGCAGCGTTCGTTTTTTGTAAGTGTGTGCAGCAAAAGCGCAGTTGTGAACAATAATTATGTCTTTGTTGCGCACACTCATAAAAACTAGACGATTCTCAGGTCCAGACTCCCACGCGATAATCTCTCCAATTGATAGAAGCGTTAGATATGTGATAATAATTATTTGAAGGCGAGTATTGGTAATCGCTGATGCCAATTGAAGATGAGTACTGTGAAACGATATCTTTGGTGTTGATCATTGGACAAATGTTTGGGATATTTCAAATTCTATAACTCTTTCCACTTAAGGTCCCTCTCAAGTGTGGAGTAAAATCCTATTTAAAATCCTATTTATAATTTTTTGATTGGATATTTTGGTTATACTTTTCAAAGTCTTAAACATTCCATCAGAAGTCTTAAAATGATCACCCTCTTGAGCATCTGATTTTTTTAATATTTAAGTGCCTTAACAATAACAAAATTGAGTAATTTTGGATTCATTAGATTTGTCTAATCAAGATTCAAAATTTGACTACAAATTTATTAAAAATAAAGTTCAGAATGGGACTAAATTTGATTTTGAAAGTTTTTAATTTACATACTTCCATGTGTCCTAAGTTTTTAACTTAAAAATCTTCAAGTCAAAAAATAATTATAGTATAAGAAGGTTTGCAATATGAAATAGTTATTAAATAAATATTCATTATTAGTTTAATTAATAATTTTCTCAAGAGATAATCTCTTTTAAGATATAATTAACATAAGGGCTTATCCTTATAGAGAACTTATAATTTAAAATAAAATAAATTTTGTTTAATTCAATTATAATTAATAGAAAAAAACCTTGGGAGCAAATACCTAGTTTAAAAAAACTTAAGAAATTTACTATTTGAATAACTTAGTTTTTATCTCAAACCTTGAGTAAGTATGACTTCTGCCACTATCACATCCAAATCTTTTACTTCTAAAATTTCATGCTATAATCAAATAATAATCTTCCTAAAAAAATTAGGCTTCATTTGGGACGGCTTTCTTACTACTTCTTAAAACTGCTTTCTTGTATTAAAATTTTAATTTTTGAACTAGAAAGCCGTCCCAAACGAACCTTTATTTTAATCTTGCCTCATATTCTAATAATATTTTATGAATTTTTTAAAATTTATTGAATAATAGTAAATTGAGTCACAGACTATTTCTTGAACTCATAAAAGAAATGATACAACCCAGAGAGGCCTTAGTTGTGACTCCTCAAAGATGGGCATATTTTTTGGGCACTTGAGAACCTCATTTATATTCATAATCGATGTGATTGATTCAAAATAAGTAATCCTATCGATCAAATCCATCTTTCGCTTATATGAATCCAATTGAGGTATCGTAAATTTAATTGGAGGTTTTGCCTCAAAAAAAAAAAAGAACATTCAATGGTTGTGGTCGAAGCTTCTCGACCTATCAAGATTGATGAGTTTCAAAGTGATCTAAAAAAGTTAAGTCTAATCAATTTTTGAAATTGAAGTCATTACACTAAAACTTCTTGATCGTTTGCATTTAATAAAAAAATCTTTATTCTATGTTGAAACAAATCTCTTTCTTATGATCAAATTAACTATTTCTTGAACTCATAAAAGAAGTGATACAACCCAGAGGGGCCTTAGTTGTGACTCCTTGAAGATGGACATATTTTTTGGGCACTTGAGAACCTCATTTATATTCATAATCGATGTGATTGATTCAAAATAAGTAATCCTATCGATCAAATCCATCTTTCGCTTATATGAATCCAATTGAGGTATCGTAAATTTAATTGGAGGTTTTGCCTCAAAAAAAAAAAAGAACATTCAATGGTTGTGGTCGAAGCTTCTCGACCTATCAAGATTGATGAGTTTCAAAGTGATCTAAAAAAGTTAAGTCTAATCAATTTTTGAAATTGAAGTCATTACACTAAAACTTCTTGATCGTTTGCAATTAATAAAAAAATCTTTATTCTATGTTGAAACAAATCTCTTTCTTATGATCAAATTTTTTCGTATATTGTATCAACCTTTATTAAAACTTGTTCGACTTTTGTTTGAACATTTTTTATCTTATTTTGGAATATTTAGATCAATTAAGGAAAACTCATATAGACATCACATACGTAAGATTAAAATCAAAATCTCATAGTTGGGTAGCCAAAACTCTCAACCAACTTGAATGATCAAGATGAGTTACGTCAGTTTTGATCATTATGAATTGAAAAAAAGCTTATAATATAGAGTATAAGTATTTCAATTTTAATGATTTTTTTTTAAGTATATTTTCTTTAAAAATAAATAAGGATTATATTGCTTAAATTTCAATTATTAGGAGTAAACTTACGTGCAACGCTCGGACGCGAATTTACAAACTCTACCGCCGCGTATTTTCTAACACGCAACAGGAGTAAAATTTTTCTTACTCGGAATTCTCTGCGGGTTCTCACCAAGTTTTTTTTACTTGACAAATAGATAAAATGATGGCAATTTCGTAAATTCGCACTAGCCACTGTGCCAACCCACCTGGACTGTATAGGCTGTATGCATTAATTCCATTGACGAATGAACCGTTCTGCTTTACGCCGTACTGTGCCTGCCTCTATCTCTTATTTTTTTCATCCACAGGTACATTTAACGCTACAGGGTAAGCACTATAAACGGCTATACTGAAAATTGATGTGGATTTAGGGAATATTCCCCCATCTCTCTCTGCGTCTTTGCGTAGGAGAAAGCCAGAGGGCACTTCTAAAAACACTGAGTGCACTGCATAATTCCACAGAGAGAGAGAGAGAGAATAAAGGAATGGATCTGCGGCTGCGATCGCAGCAGCCGGCGTTCTTCGAGGCGGTGCGGTCGGGGGACGTGGAGGCGGTGCGGCGGGTAGTTGACGCGGCCGCGGAAGTCGGAGGAGGGGAGGCGGTGGCGGCGCTTATGTCGTCCCAGACGGATGCGGGAGAAACGGCGTTATATATCGCGGCGGAGCAGAATTTGGAGGAAGTGGTCCGATATTTGGTGCGGTTCTGCGACTTCGAGACGGCAAAGGTTCGCTCGCGCCTCGACATGGATGCTTTCCAGGTCGCCGCCAAGCAGGGCCACGTTGGTTAGTTCGCCTTCCTTATTTCCTTCTTGTGCGCACTTACTTTTTAACTGATTGTTGGTTGCTTTTTTTGAGTATGTGAGAAGGAATTAAGATCGATAGGGGATTGTGGTTTCTGATGTACTGAAAGGGAGCTAGTGAGAAAATTTTCTTTCCCGGAATAAGAGAAACTTCTGTTTAATTGATGAAATTCGGGAGAGTTTTTTGGTGTGGAATTTCTAAATATGGGATTTGGAGGGTTAGAGATTCTTTCCTTCTAGATAGCCAAAATGATGGATCATGGGTATATCTATGTGTGAGGCTTCGAGTAGATCTTGCCATTGTGTATTTCTTGATTTAGCTTTTGTTAACTGTAAAATGGTTTCAGAAAGTACGGGAAAAGGAGTAATCAGTTAATTAAATTGTTGAGTCCTGAGAGATACAAATGTTAGTTGATCTCTTTTGATATTGCAGTTGAATTGTATATTTTTTTGTATGTGCTCAAAAGTGTTTTCTTCTTTTAAGTATAAAGTTGAGAAGGAGATGGTGGTGGTGGTGTGCGGGTTGGGGTATTATTGGCCTGTACAGGTGCCTAAATTTAATGTATATGTGTTATTATTATTATTATTTTGCTATGATGGATTTCTTTGATCTATTATGCTTTCAGTTTCTTCACATTTTACTTAATTTCTCCATCTGCAGAGATTGTTTCTGAGGGTTAGAAAATCTTGAATTGATTACAACATTTTTTGTATTGAACAATATGTAGTATTTTGAGCTCCCTTGGTATGTATTTTCGTTTAAAAATGGATAAGGGACATAGTCATAAGCTTGATAAGGTCCATTTGTTATGGAGATAATTATAAACTTAATTTCTCCATCATGTTGATTGAGTTGTCCGGATGAGCATAATGCAAGACAAAATTGCTGTGATAATTTCTTGGACTTTGGCTTTTATGTAGAAAAAGTTAGAGGATTTCTGCTGACCGGCTTTCCTCGCACTCTTTTTATAATTGATCCATCTGTTAGTTTGTTTCGTCAGCACAGTAGCATTGACTTTATCATGTTGAGTTTCCTGAAATTTGCAAATTTATTATAATTATTATTATTGTTATTATTATTATTATTTTTATTTTTATTTTTATTTTTATTTATAGTCAACTGCATGAAATTCAGACTTGAATGAAATTAAACATAGCAAGATCCGGTCAAAATGTCCTCCACTAAAAGTTTATGGTTGATTTGGATTAAATGGACCTATATTTTCTAAAAAAAGAAAAAAGAAATTGTTACAACAATATCAACAACATCAAGCCTTTGTCCCACTATGTGGGGTCGGCTACATGAATCCTTTTTCATCTTTGTGTCTGGTTAAAAATCAAATTCTCATCTAAATCTAATAAAGAAAGATCATTTCTAATATTTTCTAAAAAAATAGAATTTAAATTTACTTAAAAAGAATTATTAAATTTGAATTCTTTTTTTTTCTTTGATAAAAAAATAATGTGATTGGAAGTATTTTCCCATTCACTTTAAAATATCATTATTTAGTTGAGGTCTTCTTTGAACCATAATTGATCCCCATCTGATCTGGTATGTTGAAATTGTAGTATATGTCAAATCGATTTTGTTGTATTTAAATAGCTGTTTTGTAGCAGCATGTTTTTTTAACCTATAGGGCTGGATTTTCCTCAGGAATTGTCAAAGAGTTGTTGAATGTGTGGCCTGGACTGTGCAAGTTGTGTGATTCATCAAATACCAGTCCCTTATATTCAGCTGCAGTTAAGAACCATTTAGATGTGGTAAATGCCATATTGGTCGCTGATGAGAGTTCTATGTGGATTGTGAGGAAAAATGGAAAGACATCACTGCATATGGCTGCAAGAAATGGATTCATTGAGATAGTCAAAGCTCTTTTAGAGAAGGATCCGGGATTAGTTTCAGTCAGGGATAGAAAGGGTCAGACTGCTCTTCACATGGCGGTAAAAGGAAAGAATCCTGATGTTGTGGATGAATTACTTCATGCAGATCCCACAATACTCAATGTACAGGACAAGAAGGGTAACACAGCTTTGCATATAGCCACAAGAAAATGGAGGCCACAGGTGATTTTTCTTTTTGTGAACCTCTCTTTTTCGTAATTATATTTTTATGGGAAAAGTTCTGATGCATTTGAAACGTGCCCAAATCTAACTTCCAAAAGTAAAGTTTTAGTTAATTGCAAGTGTTCGACAAAATTTTTGATTCTGCACTCAAAACAAAGCTAGAAGAAAGTGGCGGCCACATGTGATCTACCTTTGTGTGAACTTCTCTTTTCCACAATTATATTTTTTTGTAAAGCTCTAATGCATTTGAAATGTGCCCAAATTTAACTTCCAAAAGTAAAGTTTTAGTTAATTGTTGCAAGAAATCAATCAAGTGTTCTACAAAATTTTTGATTGTGCACTCAAAACAGCTGCAATTTTAGTTGATCTTATTTCTTCTTGTGTAGAGTTGAAGGGCATAGTGAGTAGATTTGTTGGAGTTTGTGTTGTTAGAATGTCAAGGTGAAAGATAAAAGTTTCATTAAACTTATCTTTCAATTGAGAGTTCTTTCCTGTTAGATGTGCTTGGTTGAAATTTTTTGCTTCTCATCAAAAGTGGCATCTTTTAAAATAAGAAATTTTTTGGGTGGTAGGATGATAATACTTAAACCCTTTTTAGTGGATAAATACCCAATAAAGATACATTTGAGGGCTCTAAAATCAATTTTATCTTGTGTTGTTTGTGAATGTCAATATTAGCAATGTATATAAAGATTTTTGGTAGAATTGTTTATAAAAAAATATTTGTGGGGAAATATTCAGCTTGATAGTTTAGAGGACCTTTGAAGTCAATCACTTTTGAGGGTATTCTATTGATTAAGTATGTGTCACTTATGACTATGTCCCTCTATTATGTTTTTGGCACTTGATTTTGTAAAAGAATAGTCTTGGTAATTTCCAGAAGAAGATATTGTTTTCCTTTCAGCCACTTCATTTTGTTTTGCAGTATCAGGTTAGAAAGATTTATGGATGATATATTCATTCTTCCTGAAAGATGAAATGTGTAATTAAAATCTGGGGCCGTGTTCAAACGGGTCGAATGTAACCTGACCCAGTTATGTAAACAAGTCAGAAGTTCAAGACCCGGCCCATCTGGTTAACCCGACCCAATACGGCTGGATGGCGACGGCGGGACTGCGAATGGCGGGACGACGGACGTCTTGTCGACGGCAAGACTGCCGAGCAGTCAACGCAACGCTCGGGCGGGCACGGTCAGCTCGGACGGCGTGCAGCCTCGGACACAGTGCAAGGGTGGGCGCAGGCAGCTCAAACAAGACGTGTGGGCCGCCTCGGACGCGACGGGCGGGGCAAACACCGGGTTAACCAGAGAAGCGCAGTCAACTTGTTTCAAATGGGTTTCTGGGTTGACCCATCGTGTTTTCAGGTCAACTCGAACCCAACATGTTATTTCAAATGTGTTGAATCCGGGAAACCGAACCCGTAACAGGTCCACTCTAACCCAAAATTTTTGGGTCGGGTTCGAGTTGGGTTTTTGGGTCGTGTCAAATATTGATGCCTCTGATTAAAATAATCACAAGCACTATTAGTGTGAGTCCCTCGATGTTAGTATTGAATTTTTCTTATGTCATGGCTGTGAAAGTGGAGAGATTAATGTTGATATTAAATTTTTGTTTGATAAGATATACTTATGCCATTTGGGTGCAATCATCAATGAATGTGAGAAATCATATTAGCTTCAGAATTATTGTGGATTTTGAAAGATCCTTAAATATTAGAGTAAACACTTAGAAAAGGAGTATAGGCTTTATAATCACTTTTAGGAAAAATACAACAACAACAACAACAACAACATCAAGCCTTTATCCCACTACGTGGGGTCGGCTACATGAATCCTTTTTCTCCATTGTGTCCTATTAAAAGTCAAATTCTCGTTTAAATCTAATAAAGAAAGGTCATTCCTAATATTTTCTAACCAAGTCTTTTTAGGTCTACCATTACCTTTCTTAACATAAGTCAAATCTAATACCTCTACTCTCCTAACCGGGTCATCGGAAGGCCGCCGTTTTATGTGACCAAACCATCTAAGGCGACTCTCTCTAATCTTATCTTCTACTGGAGCTACTCCAACCTTTTCACGTATATGCTCATTTCGTATCCTTTCTCTAAGGGTAAAGCCACTCATCCACCTGAGCATCCTCATCTCTG